GTGTGTGTGTGTGTGTGTGTGTGTGTGTGTGTGTGTTTGACACATTTTAACTTTCCTTTTTTTGTTGTTAAAGTCACCACAGATGGAATGAGTGGTGACTCGGCTCTTCTTCAGTGGTTCAGAACAGGCAGGGGTGAAACCAGTGAATTACGTTGAAGAAATTTATAGTTTTTACAGATTAGTACTGATGTTAAAAGCACAACGCTATATTTTTAGGTTTTCCTTTTTATAAATGGTTAATCTATAATGTGTTGATTGATATAGATTAGTTACATGTCCGAAATATCTATAACAACACATATTTATCCGTTATGAAAACATCAGGCGAAAATTGTGTATGAATGCCTGTGATTCAGCCGTAGGTCAGTAGGGGGCGAACACGGGCATTGAAGACTCTGTATAAATGGACCAACTTCCTGGTTTGCGGGCAGTGTGTGGTTTCCTGTCAGATCCGAAAGGCAATAAACCCCACTCCAGAATTCTGGTTTTGTTTGGTTTTATCTCGTCTAACAATCATATTATTTAACATTGGTGGTTTTCTAATGACTTCAGTCTTTGAACACGAATATTTCTTACAACGCGTTGGAGATAACACACCAAGCACCATCTCAAAGTTTGTCAAATCGACTGAATTTCACTCATTTTTACCTAAGTGGTTTAGCTGTGGCGGCCATCTTGAATGGGGACCTTCACTGGTGATGTCACGCATATTGTTTGCTTTCTGCCGCTCGCTCAAAAGATCGGACAAATTGACTTGATGAGTAACTGTTGTTGCCGTAACAGAAAAAAGACATTCGTAGAGTGAATTTCGACACATTCGACTTCAGGAATCACAGGAAAGTTAAGTTGAAAGGTTTGCTGGAGGATCGAAGTCTCCAACAGACTTGGAAAGCGAGCAAAATAGTTAAAAAGTTTGGTGTTTTTATCAATTTCTTATAGCTTAGCTAGCTGAATCTAATGCCTGTGTGTGTCTGTCTTTTTTAATGACTGGAGCCACCGCTCTGTTTAAAGCAGGAGTTCTCAAACTTTTTGGGTCTTAATTCAATTCATTTTATTTAAATAGTGCCAAGTCACAACATCTATACGTTGTCTCAGGGCACTGTACATAAAAAAAGAACAAACTAAAGGGATCTTAGGACCCCTTACAGGGGGGAAAATTTTTCAGGGGTTCCCTTATAAACCTCATGCTGATTTAAATATAATTTTCTGCCTGTTTAACCCCTAAATGTCATGGGAATGATTTTTTTTGGTTTGGTTTAGCATGTTTGTTAAAACCAAAATCAACAATTTCTTGTAATTTTTTGAGCAACAGCTCGTGGACCCCTGGGGGTCCTGGGACTCCAGTTTGACAACCTCTGGTTTAAAGAAACAAAACGGTGATGTTTAGAATTTGTGTAAGTATATTATCACCGTATGTTTGATTGACTGCAGTAGATCGCTGTATGAGGCTAGCATGGATGCTAGGAGCTTAGGAAAAGTGATCAAAAACACTCCTTCCATGTTGCAATGATAGCTGCATCCCGAGTCACTGTTACACAATGTTTTGTGGTCCATCTGGTGGAGTTTGATGCAGTTTTTCCAAATTTATTGAAGTTTAAACACAGCTAGACCGGCGCCGCTCAATGGAGCTGCTAAGAGTTTGTACGTGCATCAGTATCCAGCGGATAGTCACGTGACTTGTCTTCTAAAAATAGCCTGAGTGAAGGTTCCCAAAAATTACATCTTTTGCTCTGGCAAAGTAAAATAACCCAGTGATTATTTTCTAGGGGCTCAATGAGTTCTACCATTAATGTGACAGGCAAAAACACACAGACCAGGGTGAAAACATCCTTTCATCTCAGACAGTGGGAGAAAAGTTCACACAAGAGAAACCATCAAAAACTCTTATTGTTAAAAACAGCGGGTAAAATAAGTATTGAACACGTCACCATTTTTCTCAGTAAATATATTACTAGAGGTGCTAATGACATGAAATTTTCACCAGATGTTGGTAACAACCCAAGTGATCCATACATACAAAGAAATCAAACCAGAAATGTCCAGAAATGAAGTTATTTGTAATAATGTGGAATGGCACAGGGAAAAAGTATTGAACACACTTACTGAAATTTATCTAATACTTTGTACAAAAGCCTTTGTTGTCAATGACAGCTTCAAGACGCCTCCTGTATGGAGAAACTAGTGGCATGCATTGCTCAGGTGTGATTTTGGCCCATTCTTCCACACAAACAAGTCTTCAAATTTCGTGGACCTCTTCTATGAACTCTGATCTTTAGTTCTTTCCATAGATTTTCTGTTGGATTCAGGTCAGGTGATTGGCTGGGCCATTCCAGCAGCTTTAGTTTCTTTCTCTGAAACCAACTGAGAGTTTCCTTGGCTTTGTGTTTGGGCTCATTGTCTTGCTGAAATGTCCAGCCACGTTTCATCTTCATCATCCTGGTAGATGGAAGCAGATTTTTATCAAGAATGTCTCTGTACATTTTTCCACTCATCCTTCCTTCAATTATTTGAAGTTTGCCAGTACCGTATGCTGAAAAACAGCCCCACACCATGATGTTTCCACCTCCAAACTTCACTGTTGGTATGGTGTTTTTGGGCTGATGTGCAGTGCCATTTGACCTCCAAACATGATGTGTATTCTGGCATCCAAACAGTTCAATGTTGGTCTCATCTGACCAGACTATATWCTCCCAGTATTACACAGGCTTGTTTAAATGTTGTGCAGCAAGCTTTAAAGGAGCTTCAACATGCTGTTTCTTCAGCAGTGGAGTCTTGCGTGGTGAGCGTGCATACAGGCCATGGTGGTTCAGTGCATTACTTATTGTTTTCTTTGAAACAAACGTACCTGCTAATTCCAGGTCTTTCTGAAGCTCTCCACAAGTGGTCCTTGGCTCTTGGACAACTCTTCTGATCATTCTTTTCACTCCTCTGTCAGAAATCTTGTGAGGAGCACCTGGTCGTGGTCGGTTTATGGTGAAATAATGTTCTTTCCACTTCTGAATTATGGCCCCAACAGTGCTCACTGGAACCTTCAGAAGTTTAGACATTCTTCTGTAACCGATGCCATCATTATGCTTTGCAACAATAAGGTTGTGAAGGTCTTGAGAGAGCTCTTTACTTTTACCCATCATCAGATGGTTCTTGTGTGATACCTGGCCATCATTTGGGACTGAACCAGCTGATATTAACTTGCACTGACAAGGGGCAGGCTTGCTTTCTAATTACTGAGAGAGTTCAGCTGGTGTCTTGGCTTTCCATGCCTTTTTACACCTCCCTTTCTTCATGTGTTCAATACTTTTTCCCCTGTGCCATTCCACATTATTACAAATAACTTCATTTCTGGACATTTATGGTTTGATTTCTTTGTATGTATGGATCACTTGGGTTGTTACCAACATCTGGTGAAAATTTCATGTCATTAGCACCTCTAGTAATATTTTTACTGAGAMAAATGGTGACGTGTTCAATACTTATTTTACCTGCTGTATAATTGTTCTTGAGAAATTCTTGTGTTGGCACACAGAAACCAGGTTCTGGAAGACTACATGTTTCTGGAGTGAAAGAATGATTGTAGATTAGCTCGACGGAGAGGATGCCAGGGAACAAGAGGAAATCATTAACCTCCAGTTCCTGCCCGGTTATGGATTTTTAACTTTCACTAAATTCTTTGCATATTTGTTTTGGTTCAGTTCCTTTAAATGCAAAATGTTTCATTCTTTATCATTTTAGTTAGTTTCAAAAATGTGTTTATCAGAGTCGATAATATGACTCCATTTTAATGTAAGACATTAAAATATTTTCTCTTCACATCTTTACTTTATGTGACACAACGTAAGAGTCCAACCAAACGACTAAACGTTGCTGCTAGGAATGGAAAGCCCTAATTTTAAATTAGTTATTGGTAAACCTATGTTAAATCACGCAAGTTTCATGCTCGTTCTCTAAATCTTTTCATGCACTTCAAAACCTCGGGTATACTCAATCAAACGGATAAAAAAAAGTTGCAACAATGCACGCCCTCATCCTTCATGGAGCAGGCAGTAATAACACGTTACCTGCTTTTTATCTCTCATCTCTCTGGATATCCCAAACAGCAATTTTCTGCATGGATTCTTCATGTGAGACTTCATGAAGAAAGAACACTCCTCTCCGCAACAAATACTCCTGGAAAGACATGAAACAGTCACAATACAGGAATGATGATTATTGTCTATGCTTAAATAAATGTGTTTAATAAAAGGTTTTATGTTAGACCTCCTAAAATTAAAAAGCATCACAATTCAGCTATGAGGAAATGTGAGTAAAGCTTAACTGTTAATATTTAACTAAACTTGAGCTGTTTCACATCAACCCCAGTGAAACATTTAAAAGTTCTCCACTTTGCAGGAATATTCAACTGGTGGGCCGGGGGCCAGATGACTTCCAACCGGCCCATCAATGAGCGTTTAAAAAAAAAATGGATAAAAAATCTGTTTTTTGTTATTTAACTCAATTTATAAAATTGATTTCAAATCATTTGTTAATTTAAAATTTGTTTGAATGCAAGAAAATAAACGTAAAAAGTAAAAGACAGTGTTTCACCTACCATTACTGCTTGAGCGATTTAGTGGGATAGCTCTGATATTTGGCTTCTTCTTTGCATGATGGAGCTTTAACCAGGATTTCTGGTTATTATGGCAAACTGATTATAAACAATAATTCATGGAAGTGTTCCTGAGCCCATGCAGTGATATCCAGAACAAAACCAAACTTAATATTTAAACATTTTAATACTATTATAAGCTGCAACTGCAGGAAATATTTTTAACCATCCCAATTTTCAGCTGAGAAAAAATATTTTTAAATTAAAATCACAGTTCTTAGTTTAAAAATCTGAACCAGACGCTTCAGGTTTTTAAATTTCCACACATAATGTTCATGGAGTCAAATTCTCGGTGCAGACAAGAACATTAAAGTTACTGTAAGAACACGCTGATGAAAAACAACCAAACACCACAGAATAAAAATCATTAAACATTTTATTTGTGTCATCTATTATAAAATCATTAAACAGCTTAAAATGGTGTTTACAAAAGTATAAACTAAAAAGTTAATCAGCAGTTTTCAGACTCATGATGCGTGGTTTGTAAGAATTTGCGCGCTCCTTTCTTCTTCTGTCAGATAAGCTTCGACTCTCTGACGTTCCTTAAGGCCACGCTGGTCTGATGTCTGGACGATAACTCCCTGTGGGGGAAAAATGGAACAAAGTGGAAGTGAATTCTTATCAGGAAAATAAAACTGAAGCAGATCCACACATGCATGTCCTTCAAATACTAAAAGTCAAAGAAAATATTTATATTTCAGAAACTTCGCATAATAGACATGATTTTATCAGGTCTGTGTATTGGCAAGAATTTGTCGATACACTACATTTGATACAGCAGGTAAAATAAGTATTGAACATGTCAACATTTTTCACAGTAAATATATTACTAGAGGTGCTAATGACATGAAATTTTCACCAGATGTTGGTAACAACCCAAGTGATCCATACATACAAAGGGGTCACCTCGAGTGAAGAAACAGGAGTTCCAG